CCTGAGCTGGGCTCTCGATTTCAACTCTGGCGCACTACCCCTAGGTTCAACTCTAGTGAGTTCAAACAAATATGTCCTTTAGGTACATACATAATTTCAGCTCAAGTGTTTTAGAGACTGACTCAGTACCAATTCTAATTATGAAAGAATGGCTTGCCACACACTGGAGCAAGGTCTCTTCACATAGAAACCTAGCATCCTTAGCTGATTGCTTGGTCTCATTGCTGTCTTCTGCTTATTTAAAGGGCCCCTGTCTTCTGTAACTCTTGCAAAATAGCTTGGCTTTATGTTCCCTAGATTTTGGCCACTGTTAACTTTTCCTTTCAGTAAATGCTCTGCTTAGGTGCATGGTTAATACATGTTTTTGTTTGTGTGTTCACTGCAGAAAGACCTCACTGTGTTTCCTTTTAGAAAGAAGTTGAAGTCTTGGGGAAAAAATAACTTCTTCCTTTCTCTTTTTTCATTTTGAGGAGGGTGGTGCTCTTTTACAAACGTTATCAGAAGTTCTGTGTATTTAGATGAAAATATACTTTTTAAAGTGTTAGTGAAATTGGGAAAAGGTTTGCAAAAAACCCTGTTTCAACTGCTTATTCTTAAGAGTCTTTTCATGTCAGAGCTTTACTGTTTTTCTCTCATAAAGCAGCTCCTAGACAGAATTTCAAAATTATTTTAACTATCTTAAAGTGTAACTGTTAGCCATGTGAAAAAGATGTATCCAAGTTTCTTACAGGTCACATTTAAAAACCTTTCAGCACTTTTGAAAGAGAGTGAATCCAGAGCTCTGTACTCAAGTAATCTAATTACAGACAGACAGTGGAGGCACACTCCTTGGCTATATTCATCTACCACTCTCCCGCATAGCAACACTGGCACTTGTTTGACCCAGCTTGAGAGCTGGTTTAGTTTGTGGAAGTGGCGGAAGAGCATGCTAACAGATTAGCTTTGTTTTGCGCTGGTGAACTGTGTTGGCTGGGATTGCTAGCACCAGCCCAGTAAGGGAGAGCGGAAGACGACTGTACTTTTTGACAACTGGATGCTTCACTGGCTTTGCGGTACTAAGAAATGGCACCAAAAAGAGACCTGAGACATGTTTCATTTGTGGGTCTGAAGCCCCAGGACCCATTCATAGCAGTCTGAAAACTATTACACTACATCAGGGACCTAAAACTTCTGTCAAAGTCTAAATTTAGACTTGTAATAGTGCTTCTTTCTGCTCGTGTGTCAGTACTGAAAAAATGGATAAAATGTCACTGTTTTTGAGATCATTGTTAATGTGAGCTTTCTGATCATGAGTTTCTTGAGCAGAAACATGAATTCCATGCAAGACAAGTCATAAAATATAAATAACAAAAATGTCCTGTCTGTAACAAAAGAGCTCCCAGGAGAAGCCATCTGTGGTCATCACTTGGAGCTCTGTTACATGTCTTAAGGACTTTCTGGCTTACAAACACATATGTAACATGATTTTCTTCATGGGAAAGTCTCAGCTCTTGATTTAAGCATGGAGTCTCTTTGTTTGGTAAAAGGTCAATTTTCTTTAGTTCTGTTGTCAAATGTGAAAAGTTTTTCTTTGCGTGTTTTGTTTATCTTGCAATAGTCATACAGTGGTTGATAAAAAGTTTATTACTTTTTGCTTTGTCTTAAGCTTTCAGAAAGTGGTTGAGTAAGCTGAACTCTGAAAATGAACACTAGGTGGTACCATTTCATAAATGCAGTTACACTTGATGCTTCAGCGGACTGTGCTGGAGCTGAACTGGACACTAGCAATTTTTTTTACAAGGAACGTAAACTGCAATCATATCCTTTTAATTGGGATATGTTTAATTTCTAATTCTATTTCTGATTCTGACAGGCTGTCTATGGTTCAACAAAGTAAGCAAGAGTTTGATTAGCACTACTAAGCTATTATGTAAGAAGTACAAGTACTTTGCAATAAAATAGTAAAACCTACGTCACAGAAGGTGGGTTGATGTGCCTAGACTGAAAGACAGTGGATTTTCCCTAATTTCCCTTTGGTTTCCATTTCAGGTTTTGAACTTGTGTGTTAAAAAAAAAATTGAGACATGACAACAGTGTGCCAGAGTAATCTGGTTAGAAATGAGCTGTTTTCACTTCCTGTTTTAACACTTTAACACTTCAGCTCAGCTTTCTATTTTTTAATTCAAGAATTGTGACTAGAAATTTAGCAATTCGGTTGTAATGCTGAAGGTTTAGGAAGTGTCTATTGCATGCATGTTTAATGACAAAGGTTGTTTTTGTTTGGAGGAGGGGATAAAGTTCCCTTTAAAGACTATGCAGTAGTAAAGGCATTGAAGGGCTATGCTATTCTTCTGTTTCTCCTAGAAGCCAGTGTGTAAAGTCTAGGATGGGAGATCAGAAGTCACTGACAAAGAGTTACAAGAGATTTTAAATCAATGATAGCAATACAGTTAAAAATCCAACATTTTAAAACTACCAATGCTGGTTTTTAGTTGGTAGCAGTTTCATAGTACAAGAAAAGTTTTAAAATATTACATAATAATTGAACAGCCAAAGGGAATAATAGAACCCAATTTCATTCATGTACTTATTTTTAATCTCTCTTTTTCATAGTATCTGTCAAGTCAGAAGCCAGTCAAAGGGACCCACTAACAGCACACTGCACTTGGGTTTCATACTGCTGTTTTTACCTTGATAACAAATTATAAACTACAGTCTAAAAGACTGATGATGGGGATCAATCTTTCTGGAACGAATCCTTCCATCTAACAACTAGCAGCTGAGCTCTCTTTGACTTCAGAACTGTCCTCATTGTAGCACGTTTTCATTTGCAGCAGTCCAGAGCAGCTGTGTGCTAGTAGGCTGGCAACTGTTTTCTGGATGAAGGGTTTCCACATTAGTGCCATTTCAAAGTGAATTTTGTAGTTTACTTAAGGACTTAAGACACAGATTTATTTTTACTGAAAGTGGACAAAGTGAATGGCGATTTTTTGACAATGTCACCTAGGAAAACTGGTATTTAAGATGTAGGAATTCTAGTTCTCCTCTTACTGATTCATTCACATTGTGTAATTTTTCAAATTGTGATGCTTTTTGGGCAGTCTCCTTCAGGACCTTAGATTAGTCCTTAAGACTAATATTTACTGTGCTTTCCAGACCCTGTTGCAACATGAAATGCAAGTCTTTGACTCTAGGAGCTAACAGGCAAACATTGTCTGCTATGAAGATGTAGAGTGTAACAAAATACAAGTTATGCATTTTTTTGTCTAGAAATACAGATACTCTTTCTGTTTTCTCTTTGTGGGTATGACTACTGCATGTTAGTTTTTAATGCAGGCTGAAATGACCTTCATTACACCTGTAGAATCATTGAAAAGTACTTTTGATTGAAAGGTGGAGAAAGTGGAGAATTGCAGGTGGGTTTTTTTCTGTTAAATAATAGTTCACTCCGTGTAAATTACATCCAAAGAATTGTCTGGTAGAGAAACTTGCATATTTTAACCACGTCGAAGTATTTAGACTGGTAAAAGCTTCTAGTTTATACGTTGCATACATGCAGTATGTATTTAAAATTAGAAGTTAATGTGCTGATAAATGACACCAGAACTGGTAGACCACATTGCATAATGATGTTTTTTAGGACTTTTAGCTTTATAACTGTTCTTGTTTGGTTAGTCTGGTGCAATTTACCCTTAAGTCCATGGGATTTTTGAATCCCCCAGTTGAAGAGCTGGGGAAAAAAAGGGGGAGAGAATTTAAGAACACCCAAGTGCTGTTGAACTGTGGCACTCATTAGGCTTTTACTTTCAGAGACTGAGGAGTAAGGTAATTAACTTTTTGCCATGCACAAGCAGATTTGAGGCCTGCAAACCTGTACTTAGCTCTAGACAGTGTGTGGTGCATACCTCTGTATGCTGCATGCTCAGGTACTATGACACTTTTAAAACATATTATACTGAATCACTAACAGAAATGTTTGATAGCTACAGTTTTCTTGTGTTTTGGGTGAGAGAAAAATGGCTCCAATTAAAAAATTGCCTTTCACATCATTTTAACTGTTTCACTCTGACAGTATTTCGTTAGATCAGTGCTGGCTTAAAATTGCAAACAGCTTGTTTGTCCTTGTACATGTTGCAAAGTATCTTAAAACAATTCTGCTTGGCAACTGACAGTTTTACCAGGCAGGAATCCAGAGAAGGAAAAAAAATCTGTTAATTCTGGGCACTTTTCCAGGGGAGCAATCCTTTTTTTTTCTTTTCTTTTTTTTGTGAGCATAGAAGACAATTCTGTGCTGATATGAACACTATATTTCTACCAAATGAAAAAAATATGTTGCTTTGTCATTACAGCAGGATCAAGTTTGCTTGTTGTTTTCTTTGTTTTGTTTTTTCGATTAATCAGAGTGATAACAAAACTGAGGTTAGGAACATACTGAGAGACCCATGCAAACTCTAGTAATACTGTGAATAGTGTTGAAGTAACAGGTCTTGATCTTGACTAGAGAATTAAGGTTTATAATGAGTGTTTCAACAAAGCAAGTTAGTTGAGTCTTTTTTTTTATCTTTTCCAGGATCAAACTTGGATCGCTGTGGATTCAGAGGCTCTTCCTATTTAGGGATGCCATTTAATCCCTCCAAGGTCAGTTAAATGTGTGTGTGTGAAGTATTTTCAATTAGGCAATAAATGATCTTATGTCTTTTTTTATATTAACTGCATAATTATGGAGTATCTGGAAGGTAGGAATTTTTGCACTGTTAATACACTGAAATGTTTGCAGAGCTTTTGAGAAACATGCATAAGAAACATACTAAAATGGTTCCACTTGAGTTTCCAGGGCAGTGAAGAAATGGACATACAAATTGTGGCTTGTCTCAGTGCACTCTCCCCCTTCTCTGATCTGTTACTGAAGTAGGGAAACTAACTCAAGAATATTCACCTGGTAGAGCAGGGCAGAATAGCTCTGTATTAAGTGGTGCAGCACATGCTGTTCTTCGGTGTTCCTCTTCCTGTGATGGAACATGCCTATTTGATTGCATCTGGTATCCACTCAAACATAGGCTAGGATCTGCTCATCGCAGTTTGTTGTGACTGTAAGAGAGGATGCTTTGAAGCCCATGGAACTAAGGTTCAAGAGGGTTAAATCTGTATATGAAAAGAAAGTGCCCTTAATGCAAGAGAGAAAGGAGGTTAGCAGAGGCTGCTAAAGATGGTGCAGAAAGTCTGATACGGTTGAAAGAGGGAAGCAGATGCCAGTGTGCAGGAAGGACTGTGAAGGAGGTACAGTATTTCTGTCCTGTGTTTGAGAGTGAAGAGCACTAAATTCTCACAGTGTCTTTCATTTTTGTAGTGGACAGATAGCAAGATTTTAAATATAAATTAATGAATTAATCTTGGGATCTGAAATTGAAAGCAAGCATGGACATCTGATATACTCAACTACAGTCCTTAGTGTAAAAATGCAGGCAAACTAACTTGAGTATAAAGGTAGTACAGCAGCCTGTTGTGGCCTTATTTTTATTTATTCTTAACAGCATAACTTTATGCTTCTGAATAACTTGTGGGAATGTTAATCTACAGTGGAGTAATAATACCACATGCCTCATTGCATTGCAAGTCAGTCAAGTACTCATAGCAGTAATAGTCAGAGGTTGTGCTTTCTAACAAGGGTAAAATAATTGTGAAAAGGGTTTTTATATCTCTGCACTGGGTACTACAGCAGCATGTGACAGGCAAGGTAATTTGTCTCTTGGTTTGTTTGGGTAATTACCCTGTTACACACTACAGATGGTATCTGCAGTGAGCTTGGACTGTAGTAGCAAGATGGATTCATCATCTGTTTTAATTTGAATTACCCTTAGTGGCAATCCAAACAACCTGCTGAGCTTGAAAAAAAAAAGGAAAACTTCTGCTTAAAAACTAAAACAATTTGGGATCTGCAGTGGTGACTTGCTGAGACACTTTTTTGAAAATGAAATTTAAACAGAAAATAGTAGTCAATAGTTTCAGTATAGTAGTATAAGAAAAAGAGTGGGTTTACTCATAAGGAAGGTGATTGATAAGTCACCTAAAGAAGTTGAGGTTGTCATGCTATTATTGTGGCATAACAGCATTATAAAATGGATGAAGCCATAATTTTACCAAACCGAGTTAATAAAAATGTATCAGTCATGTTTCCTCAAAGCTTTGGGTCAGTGCCATGTGGTATAGTACATTAAATCAGTGTATGCTTGTGGAGGCCTCTTTCAAATCCTCCCCAGTGTATACAACTTCAAGAGTGAGTTCTGGATGTAGTTCTGAGATCTTGCAAAAGCCCGTGAAGACAAAAAGTCTGTAAGATTGGCAAAGTGTCATTATCCCTTCCCAGCATTTTCTGGTGTTTTAATTTAACTCTCAACTTCCAATAGTACATTATTTACACTTAAATACTCTCTTTTCAGGAAGTGTGTTGCAGCCCATCAGTGTCTTATAATGTTTTAGCTGATCTGCAGAAGGGACAAAGGGGTGGAATTATGTAACCTGTGGAAATTAGCTTACAAGGTCATCATCTCTAGAAAACTGGTTGCAGATGGATGTGCTTATTGCTCAAGCATTGCAATACTTTTTTTTTATTGCATCTGCATTAGAGGCATCATATCTGCTCGATTTATTGGCATACAGAGGTTTAAAGTATTTCCAAGCACTGTTACCCTAAAAAGTTCTGAAATAACTCAGAGAAAGAAAGACTTGGAAATCCACTGTGGTGACTTTGAACTATGTTTAAGGTCTTGTCATTTTTCTTTATTCATCATTTAAAAATGTTCTGTTAAATCTATGTTTTGAAAAATAATTTTTGAAAAAGCCTGTAAGTGTTTTGTATTTGCATTGACAGTTACTATTTATTACATGCCACTACAGTGATTTCATTCTTGAACTCTGAGAAAGTGCCATACTGGAGGTAGCCAAATCTCTTCTGTCACTAGGGACCTTTCAAAATAATAGAAAAAAGCAAAGGATATGTTGGAATTTCCAACTTTACTAAATGTTACCAGGATAGCTCATTTGGTTTTGGTTTGGAGTTGTGGGGTTTTTTAAGCTGTTGCCCTTTCAGTGTTTGATGGTAGTGTCTATGCAGCTCTTTGAGGCTGTAGCAAAAGTGAAGCAAACCATATCCACTTGACCAATTCACCACACACAGTGTTAACAAGCTTTAACAATCTTAACTGTAAATGAACTCTAAGAGTGCTGCTTCTATCACTGCATTTAAAGAGAAATCATTTAAAGTTAAATAACAATTGCTTTCTGAAATGGCTCCAGGTTCTGCAGTCTCTCTGATTTGGTATTACTGGATTATAAGATAGCTTTTTAGGGAGTGAACAGTCTCCTTGGAATGTCAGATGTGCCTAGGTCTTTTCAGTCTCCTTAAAGTGTTACGAATCAGTTTTGGGGGCTAGAATGAAAGCCAATACCTGAAACTTTTATGTTAGATTGCAGTAAATACCATATGCTTTTCACTTTGGGGGAAAAAAAAGATGTGCTTTTTGTTCCCAACACAGAATTGTATTTTCTCAAGGCTGAAACAATCCGTGTTTGTAACACCGATGCCAGGTGTGAGAATAAAGTTTTTTGAAATTGTGACTCTGCCTGTGTAGGAATATGTTTAGTAGATTCTTTATTAGGGTTTGGAGTGTTTTTGCAGCAGAGAGAGTTTCTTAGCCCTCTTTGTGGGGGTC